CGTTGGTAAAAGAGTAGCCCAAGAGTTGGCGGTGGGTGGTGATGACTAGCTGCCTTCCCTCTAGTCTTACACTGCTAAATTAGGGACGGCTAGCGCAGATAGCCCTCGTGTAGCTTTGCGCGAAATTCAAAACAAACAAACAAAACCAAACAGAGAGCCCACCATTTTATGTGATGCAAAACCGGAGCACAGTTTAATGTACTTTGAGGAGACAGTTAATGAGATGGTCTAAATGCTGACGATTACTGTACAGTAGTAACACGTGTTAAACCTAAACGTTATATTCTTTGAGGCTCACCTATATATAGTCAGTAGTTTCTATTACTATCTTACCAAAACAGTTTCTAGAGAATTCACATTGCTTAGCTGGTGCTGATGGAGTTTTATCATCGAACGTGTAACAATTCTCTCCTGTTTTCACAACAGGAAATACAGTTAGTTAGCTGGATAATACAAACATCTCACTAAATATCCAGAATAAAAGAAATCCACGTTGGGGCAAAAATTACTATACGGTTATCGTGCGGTTTGTTTGTTTGTAGTTAAGCACAAAGCTAAACAATGGGCTGTTTGTGCTCTGCTCACTACGGGTATCGAAACCCGGGTTCTAGCGTTGTAGCTCCGCAGACATACCGCTGTGCCACCTATTTCTGGTCTTCAAAAACAATCCTACTTTTTTAAAAACTGTTTCCTTTTTTCGAAAGTATCTTTTATAGAACATTTTAAAGCTTTCTTTAATGCTTATCTGAAACAAAAAAAAGTTCCTGATATATACATTTTAAATCCAGCATTTTAACAGTTTTAACTCTTGTACTTTATATTTTATGATCTTCTAATTTTACATTTAATTATTCTGTTGAATTTCCTCAGCATTCTTCTAGCTCACATTATTAATTGGTTTTCAGGTTGCTGGGTAAGATGTTTTAATATTTTAATCTATAAAAAAACGACTAGGATAAAAACTTTTAACCTATATTTTGCTTGCTTCTTTCGGATATTCGCACAAAGTTACACAAGGGCTATCTGCACTAGTCTCTAGCTTTGAACTGATGGACTAAAGGAAAGGCAGATAGTCAACAGCACCTAACGTCACCTGTTGGTCTGCTCTAATCGAAAAGTGGGATATGACCACCACTTTTATAACGCAGACAAAGCCCCAAAGTGCGGTTCAATATATATATATATTTTCGTATTTCGAATCCACAATCCAGCTCGCTAAAAAAACTAACCTATGCCTAAAACGCCATCTAGCGCTGTGATAAAAAAAATTAATGTCTTACAATGACTGGGAGATTCGTGTAACTGCATATGAAAAGTTAGGCCTACCTCGACCTTATTCAATTTGGTACATTATTAATGGATAAATAAATAAGCACGACAAAATAAATATATTTACTTCTGCACATTTTTGTGCAATTTAAGAGAAAAAATCTAATAACGAAAATGGAATGCCTGAAGCTTAAACATGAGAACACTTATTTAACCCTAAATTAACTATGGCGAAACGTCTGAGAGATAAAGTGCGAAGGTTGAGAAACACGAAACGTATTAATAAGTCTGCAACCAAAAATTACCTATCGCTCTCAATTATTCGTCCTTTTCTTCCTTCTTCTGGCTTGATGGTGATGATGATGATAAGTTCACTAAGCTACAACAATTTGGTGTATACACGATGAAAACACTTGCTATTCTATTCGCCATTCTGTTCCAATAGCTTCTACAAATGGTAATTTATGAGCAAAGGATATGACATGACGTATGTTTAAGTACAATAATGACATCCCATTAAATCCAGTTATGATATTACAATCTAAAGCATCAATTTTAAAATAATCCTTTCAATCTCAAAAATCATCACATTGTTGTTCAGCTAGGCTTGAGGCTGCAAAATGGTTAAAAATTCTTAGAATCATGTCTATTAAATTAATACATATTAAAGCAAAAAATTTCTAATCAACTACAATGTCGTTTTTGTCCTAGCTTTTTTTTTTTTTAAATTACAGTGGCAAATCTATTTCTGTAGTGAGTCATTTATATATATATATATATTCACATATATATGTGTATATATAATTCATATTTGAGCCCACTTCCTAGGCTTTCTGAGTTTATGAGAAAAAATTACAGGTCCACATCACGGACTGTAACCATTGATGGAAAGGAGAAGATACAAGAAGATCACGTGATTCCAGCCCAGCAACGGAGTTTCATCTTCTTCTCGCTCTTGGCAACTGAAAATGGAAACAATATAAGAAGTGTATCAAAGTTGTATTTCTAGTGTGTATTTACGATGTGAATTACAGTGGACAGAAGTTCAGATAAAATAAGTAAAACATCTTAAAATAAATGTGCCGTGTTTCGTTGGCAGGAGGACTGAAAGAGTGTAATTAGAAGTAAAGAAACCATCGTCAATTAACGCAAGGTGGCACTTTATGTGATTTGATAACGACTTATGGATTTTATGAATGATAGATTTGGATAAGCATTTGAAAAACGGTTATCAAATGTCTAGTTACATTTCTCTATACATACGTTATCTAAGGTATATTAAGATGTACAATATGTTTCAATATGGAACTTACACATTTGTTATGCAAAGTGAAATCCATTCGAAAAGGTAATGAATTCCAAACTACAGCCACCGCCATTGTTAAACATGAACCAATTAGTTACAATAAACAGCCAAACCGAATCAATCAAATGAATATTTTCTACATTATCAGTCAGGAATAAATTATGGTTGTGCTATCTAAAACAGTAAGGAACTACTGATTTGGAAGACACTTTTCTATTTTTTCTTAACTCTTTTGGAGACCCAGTTTTGAACCGTTTTGTAGACTATTTTTTATTTTTTGGAGACTCTTTCTTTAATCCTTTTGGAAACCCTATTTTCAAACCTTTTGGAAACCATATTTTTAAACCACTTGGAAACCTTATTTTTAAACCTCTTGGATACTATATTTTTGAACCTTTTGGATACCATATTTTAAAACCTTTTGGAAACCCTATTTTTAAACCTTTTGAATTCCATATTTTTAAACCTCTTGGATACTATATTTTAAACCTTTTTGGATACTATATTTTTAAACCTTTTGGATTCTATATTTTTAAACCTCTTGGATACTATATTTTTAAACCTTTTTGGATACCCTATTTTAAAACAAAAATATGGTATCCAAAAAGGTTTAAAAATATGGTTTCCAAAAGGTTTTAAAATAGGGTATCCAAAAGGTTTAAAAATATAGTATCCAAAAAAACCTTTTTGGATACCCTATTTTAAAACATTTTGGAAACCATATTTTTAAACCTTTTGAATACCCTATTTTTAAACCTCTTGGATACTATATTTTTAAACCTTTTGGATACCATATTTTAAACCTTTTTGGATACCCTATTTTAAAACATTTTGGAAACCATATTTTTAAACCTTTTGAATACCCTATTTTTAAACTTTTTGGATTCTTGGATACAACATTTCAAAATTAATGAAAGTTTTTAAAACATTCTAACATAATATAGTTACGTCACTTTAGTCACCCTAGTTTTCTACCTATAGTAAAAATAACATGAGTAACAATGTTAGTAATATGTTAATATCAATGTTCCTAAACAAATTTGGATATTAAATATTTAAAACAATATCAACATTTTTATCTTTAAAATAAAAACAAAATAGTTTTAATAATTTCACTTTTAAAATATAAGACCAAGGATCACTGGCTACTTCAAATCTGTGGATCTAAATAGCTGACGCCTGCTTCAACAACTGTCGAAAAAAAATACAATTTGTTTGTTTCCCAATGGAACCTTTATCTTGCAAATGTAAAAGGCCTAGATGCTCAAGTACTTAGCATGCTTTTGTTGTGATTCTTGATGTGATGGATTGTCAATTTCTGTTAAATTGAGTGGAAGACGTGGGGAAAGTAGTCAAAAAGTGTATTGGGAAGTACTAATAATGCAACAAACAGTAGAAGAAAACGACCACGTCAAAATTACAACAAGAATATTGTAAATATCAATGGTGAAGTTGTGCATGGTAAAAATGAATTTCGCGCAAAGCTACACGAGGGCTATCTGCGCTAGTCGTCCCTAATTTGGCAGTGTAAGACTAGAGGGAAGGCTGCTAGTCATAACAACC